CGCGGTGAGAGTATGTGAGAAATTGGTTGCTTATGACTAAAAGAGAAAATTGCTGGCATTATTAACCTACCGTATTTCTACATCAAAGTGACTGATTGTATAAAGAATTTTAAGATGCCAAACACCTCATAAAAATGTGAAAATTTTAAGCAGAAGTAGTAAGTTATAACCATGTGCAGGTATAGTTAATTTGGAATTATTCAGAATGTGGCACCAGAGGTTAAAAGTAGTTTTGAGTACTGATTTATTGTTATACTTATTTTATTTATTTATCTTATTTCCTTATTTTTTGATAATGTTTCAAAAAATTGAGTTGAAAATAGAAGTAATGGTTACAGACACTAATATGGAAGCATCAACTTTGCCTGTTACTTATCGATCTCGATCGGTAAGTATGTCGATAGGTATTTGTCTGTTAGACACTTTTGTATGTTACGCGATATCTGAAGATAGCGAGGTGAATTATGTCGTATAATTAGCGAGATCGATAAGTCGGCGGTCTCCCATCACTATCTAGTTTAACTGCACTAACGAGAAATTCTAATGGCAGATAAGTATAGGATTGAGTGTATCGATCGGTGTCATTACTTTTACGCAAAACCTATATTGCATGTTTAAATAACTAGATAGCGATCGGAGACCGCCGACGTATCGATCGTTCGCAGCGACGAAAGTTAGGGGATCCCCCCAAAACAGAAACTGCGGTTTCGATTCCTTTGCTCTGACTCAATAGCGACACACATGTCACATCCCTAATTAATTAATACCTCGCTAATAATACGAAATAATTCATCCAAAAGCAATAGGCTTCTGGTCCGAAATATGATGCACATGCAAAATTTGGAGCTTTCGCGAGATAGTAACATACAAAAGTGTCTAACAGACAAACAAGCAGACAAATACCTATCAACATACTTACCGATCGAGATCGATAAGTAACAAAATACGGTATATAAAACAGGTGAATATTCTAATATGGGAATGCTCATTGACGGGAACAAGAAAGAAATGGAGCAGTAAACTGAAGCCAGTCTCTAATACCGCTGCTTCCATTTGTTTTCAAAGTATATATGTTTTTTGAACTCAATTTTGATTCTATATGCTTGGGCATTGTCAGGATTTTAAAGCCAAAACCTTATGAAATTTTTCTGGGTGGGTATAGTTAGTTTATAAGATTTTATCTAAACATAGATAGTTTCTAATTTTCTCCCAACTGAGCTGGATAAAAGTCGAGTTGAATTTCCTACTTGATGGATATATGCTCCAAAAAATGTTGCGACAAGCACTGAACCCTGGGGCATCCCTACAAAAAACAAATTGTGATTCTCTGTTGACCCGATAACTTGTGAAACATTTTCTGGCTGTGCCACGAATTTTTGGTTTGGTAATAAATATTTTATGATCAAAAGGGAGTATCAAATGCTTTCTTTAGATTCAAGAATATGCTACAAACCACTGATTCATTAACTATGATGATATTCTTATTTTTATTACACTATCTATAATTGCATGTTTTGTTGGATGATGATTCTGAAATCGAAATGGATCCAATTTAACTAAGAACTTCCGGAGCCGCAAGCATTAACCTTCTTAAAAATAACTGAAAAGAACAACTATTGGAATCCTCTTTCTCATTTCCAGCCTTTGTCAGCCATAACCATTTTTAGATGGTTAGGAAAAACATTCAGGAACACAGATTAGTTGAATAGTTCTGTGTGCTGAACTGATGGTACTATCAAGAGGCCTTAGAATCTTAGATGATAAGCTGGTGTGCGACCGTACCCTGTTGTTTGTTTATTTTTAGAGAACTTATAACATTTTCTATTTCGATCACTGATGCATCTTCCTTGAACATGGGCGATATATTTGGAACATCAAAGTCTGCGTCAAAGTTAATCATATCGCGTTTTACAATTCCTAGTGATTATGTGACAATGCATGATTGAGTTGGACCTGATAAATATATTGAAATTAAATATTGATCAGCCATACAATTCTGCCAAATAATCGTCTAAATGGCCTTTTGAGGTGTATGAGAATAAATAGTCTATGATTCAATGAGTTTCTAGAATTGCATCTGATTCTAGTTTTCTGTCCAAAAATATGCACACCCATTTACAATGGTATTTGATCAAATTGAGCAAACTGCTGAGCAGCCATTTTGCTAGTATAATAATAAACATCGTCTTCATACACAAAAAGTAAATCTACGATAGTTTTTGTATATCAGACAATTTCGTTGTAGAAATTCTAGGGCTATCCTTTCACATGTAGATACTACTATGTGTGGTTCAAAGCTTCTCATACATTTTGGATTTCTTACCTACTCTAGCATTATACAGCAGGTTTTACCGATAATTAGTGAGATTTTTATTGATATACGATGATATCATCCTTTATGTTCGAAGTTATGTAATATCATTTATTTGTTTCTATTCGTGAATCTCATAATTATAAGTCTAATAGAGAAGTTTGAAATGTCTACGGGAGAGGGCGTAATGGTAGAATATCCCACGAGAGTCAGGTTCGCCCTACAAATCTAACCATAGTTTGCACAAATAATAACATTACTGAAATTATGGGCATTTTGGGTCGAACCCCCCCCCCCCCCTCCCCCACCCCCACCCCCCCTTTTGGAATGTGTAAAAACGGCGACTAATAGGCGCGACTTATGGACCATAGTCTATATCTATGGACCTTTCCCCGACCTTTGACCCCCGTAAATTTCCTCCCATACTTAACCATCGCAAAATTTTCGGTGTTTCGGTGTTTTCAAATTTTGCTTCAAACCATTATTCTGATTCATAGCATTCAACAATCTGTTTTGTAACAGTACCGGTGAAGAATTTTAGCCTAGTCTATTGCAGCCATTTCTACACTAATTTTTTATTACTGCAGTTAAACTGAAACTTCTGAGAAGACAAAGTGATCATTGAATTATTTGATTTACATTTAAATATCCGAAACTAAATCCAGAACTAAAATTAACGAATAGATTTCAAAAATCGTCACTCTTTGCGTCTTGCTGATTGGCCAATGTCCCGAAGTAAACAAGGAAGTCGATGCTCGGGGAAACATCCATTCAGTTTCAATTTCTAGAAACATTCTGTATCACACATAGCAATTTTTAGAACATCAGTTCTCTTAGAAACTCGCGTTTTGCGGCCTCCGGCCAAACCACCTGTTGCTGTCAAACTTGGCAATTACAAATTTCGGCGCTCCGAAAGTATTCGTACCAAGATGACGCACAACCTGAACCCTAACCTGGCACGCATACTATTTTCAGGTTGTGCGACATTTCGTACACACCTAAATTTCAGAACCCCCTCCCCCCCACCTTTGAAAATTCCTGGCTACGCCCCTGATGCTTGGTCTTGTTTCATTTATTCGATAATTGTGATTTTAGTTTGCAGAAATAGAATACTATCAGTTTTCCTGCTATGCATCACTGATTCACCACTATTCTGTTTTGATAGAGTTCCAATGACTCAAGGTTTTTTATGAAGAAATTTGTAACCTTTTGGGCTTTAGGCCATGCAAATTTGTTAGTGTATCGTAATTAGCGGTTTCTTATTGTCTTGCTGCATCACCCAAATACCAAAATGCCGTGTTTTTTCCACAAAGCCCACACTTTTCGATTAAACCCAAACTATAACTATCCGAATTTATTTGTTTATTTATTTAGATTGAGCCATCTACACAAAATTTTAGTTAGGCCGATTGAACATACATCACCAATTATTATTCCGTAGTGTCCCGAGGATATAAGTTAACGTTTCACAAGACACACAGATTGAATCTTATCAAAATTGGTATTCAAGCCCATAAAACCGTTTATCATATCCGGACAATGACCCATCCCATGCACGTCATTCGTCCGTCATTGTAATTTGATTTGATCTGCAAAACTAGTAAATATAGGTGCTGAATGCATTATGTTTGGTTAATCATTCGTAGCGGTAGACTTACACAATAGTGATACGCAGAATAGTGGAACGATAATGCAGTGCAAATGTTAGTTAGTGACGGACTGAAATCTAGTTTTGATAGATATAGACTATAGTGTGTATGATAAAATAGGAAACTCATAGCATCCTAAATTTCTGTTAAATAACTAGTAGGCCACCAAACACTACAAAATGTTAGTTTTATGCCATTAAAATTTTAAGTAAATATAACGTTATCATGACGCATCTTTTGTATCAATTACATTCACTAATACCTTTTAGTCTTATGATTGAGAATTTCAGTTAAAATGTAAAATTATCGACCGCCAGCGAAAACGAGTAGTAGGCTACACACTTTAGAAATTGAAGCAATTGTATTATCGTCATCGCTATATTATGATTGCTAAATTGCGAATGAATTTTCAAATCTCCCAGGAGATCTGGAGTTGGCTTCGCATAAGAAATCTTTGACCTGTTGGAAGCTGGATGAATAAAATTCTTAATTCTCAAAACAATTTTAACATGCGTACACATTCATTTGCCAATGGATACAAGTTGAACTACGTAGAAGTCAATGTTTTAATCAGAACAGCGAATCATGATTAAGCTATCCTAGGATGGGATCGAGAAGTGTATAAAAGTGGTTATAGCATTAGAAGCCCAAATTCATACTTTCTATTCATGTATTGGCGACCTATTTTTAATCCAATGCGATGCAATCATTGTCTTTACAAATTAATTAGTCATAACACAATTATTTGTTACATGAAAGTTAGATGCAGTCGATAAACACTTGTCTGATCTGATATTGACAATGACAATATGATACGTTATAACAGCATAACAGTAAGAAGTTCGTCCGAGCTAACTTGTTCAGAACAAATGAAACATGCAGTCAGACTTTCAGAGCCTTAATTAGTTTTGCTCACAAGCGGAGTAGCCTCTCTACAGCCTCTGTACTTTAATGAAACGTCGAGGCAAACGTTTAATACCCATGGTGCAACTTTCATTATTTAGTGTTTCGTGTATGAATGGATAATTACTGAATTACTTTTATCAATATGGATTCTACGACGACTGCATCCACGAATACAGACTTAATTCTGAGACTGAATGGCGTTGATATCGCAGTGATTGTAATCTATTTTGCTTTGGTAATGGGAGTTGGAATATGGGTAAGTATGAAATTCTAAAGTGTGTTTAACTCTGTTATTCTCCTGCTCCGTCTTTGACTCCGTTCTTATCGTTATGTACGACGGATATTAAAAAAAACAATGTTTTTACTATCAGAAAATGTAGCAAATTTTTGGGACTTCAATTATTGTCATTCTGACAACTAACTCTAAATAATTATCTTGATTTATATTAATATAAAATAGATAAGCCATTTATTAGAAAGATGTTCGTGCCTTGATGTCATTTTAAAACGAGATAAAGTTCCACATAACAAATAACTCAAGAAATTAACAACAATATCAAAAACGCTTGTTGGTCAATACTATTACCAGAACTAGACGTCATTGTTAAACTTATATGGATCTGCATATACTTCTGTGTATTTGCTAAATGGGCCATCAGACAGACTTACCTTTTTATTGATGATCTATTCCAGCTATAAACTAACACGTAATATTTTTTGATTTTGTCAGGCAATGATTCGCGCTAACAAGGGAAATGTACAAGGATACTTTCTTGCTGGGCGAAATATTGCTTGGTGGGCCGTAAGTTAAATTACAAGTTTTTGTACGTGTGATTACTTTTATCTTTTGTAAATCTTGTTTGATTGATTTTTACTGGTTGAAAAAAAAAACTAATTTTAATCACTATATATATATATATATATATGTAATCTCTGCAGTGCACCCGCGGTACGTTATTTTTTGACGGTATTCGCCATTCAAGCTCACCGTAGGTTAGTGTATTAGTTGCTAGTCCGGTTAAAAAGTAAATTGAATTTTAAGGCTAGTCTTTCGTTGCATTTGTTAACAATTAACCTTTCATTCTGTTACTTGTAGGTAGGTGCTTCATTATTTTCGAGCAACATCAGCAGTATTAGCATCATCGGAATGGCTGGATCCGGAGCGTCGACTGGAATTGCCGTAGCAGCATATGAACTCAATGTATGGAATTATATTCTGAACTATCTTTTTTTCTTATATATACATGCTCTATCTTTGTCCAGAGGGTTAATGTACCGCTGAAACCTACTTGATGCATTTATGATAACGGAAAATTGTAATCGGTTGTTTTGATTACTTCCATACTCGTTCATTACTTGTCGCGACGGAAATTCAACACTTTCCCACCCACATTATAGCGTCATATGTCCAAACGACTTTGTTTTGAACCATGATCTTGGTGAATAAATGCCTCAGAGTAATACCAATATTGCTTTGTTATGTTCCATTACATTTGTTTTGAACCCACTTACATTTGAACCCGTAATTTGAACCCACGACAAATGCACCCATGAATTTTTTTTTTACTGATATTTGAACCCATGCTAACCCTAACCCATGGATTTTAGTACCCTCATACAGATTGAACCCGCGGATATACAGGTGCAAATGTATGGGTTCAAATGTACGGTCACCCTTTGTTATATTTATAATATGGTGTTCTGTTAGATTGTTACTAACATGCGGCCATATCGGGACAATGGCTACACTACTATTTAACATGGATTCACTTTCTCGGCTGAATTCTGCAAATCAAGAATGTAGGCGACATAATGGTGTTCATGATACAAAATTTGTTGTATAAGCAATACCAATGTTTCATAAAAGACTATAGTAAAAATTCAATTCATTTTACAGAATCATAAAAAAATAACTCAAATTTATTCATTTCTTTTCATTCACTCTCTCATCAATTCACTGCCACTAACGTTGATGCATTTATTTATTTATTCATTATTTTAGGGCCTCTTTGTTCTGATTCTACTAGGCTGGATCTTTGTTCCGGTTTATTTGGCTTCGGGGATTTTCACGATGCCAGAATATTTGAAACGAAGATTTGGAGGGGAGAGGATACGACTTTATTTAGCATGTAAGGAGATTATCTTTTGAACTTATTCAGATTTTCGTCACTGTAAATTGCTTCAAATTTTTATTTTCCAAGAAGCGAATTGCTGTACTATTTGGCTCACAAAAATACCCATGAGATTTGAAATCAAGATGTGTATTCGGCTATGCCAACACAGCTGAGTCTAACACTTCAAGGGACAAAGTTTCACCGCTGGTCCATCGCGCCGCAAATCTATAAATAAGAAAATGATTTCCACCACATCAAACAATATTTTCTCATACTACAATTATTAGGGAATTGATCTGATGCGCATAGGTACCAGTACGGCTAGGGCTCAAAGCAAAACATCGAGTTTTATGAAAAATCGGCGCACAAAAGATTGGCCCGCTAGTTGCGGAGTAAAGCGATGTTTACAAATAACAAGAAACCCAACAACAACAACTAAGCAAAATGATCCATATACCCACTTCGCGTTCCAACAAGTTTTGTTCAAAATTATAACCAGCAAATGCAAAGCCGAACTTTTTTTGATGAAAGTTTTGTTCATCTGAATCAATCATTCGCATGGCTACGGTACTAACACTCATTCACATGTAATTTCATGACTTAGCTTGTGTTGCCCTACTTACCAACTTGATGTTTAGCAGATGTGGAATTTTAAAATCTATTAATGGCATCAAAAAATAGGAGATTGCTAGTTATAAAATGTCAAATAATTTCATTCATAATTTTCAGATAATTCCAAAAATTATGAAATAAATGAAGCCAATAAGTTATAAATGGCCTAGCCTAGAAGATTTACCACAAACGTCAAAGAACTGTGAAACTGAGTTGTAATAGTAGGTAACGTACCGCAGCCGCTGTTGAAAGAGTGGCAGCAATTAGTTGTCACAAATTACTGCCATCAAATAAGTGAACTATTGAAAGATTTAAAATTTAAAATACCGAATATATATGCCACATATTCTATTGAAAGGTAAAAATGCTCTTTAATCACACGCATTCGGGGTGATAGGCCAAGTATTACAAGATTTAAACTGACGAATAAATCACATGTACTGTTGACAAGTAAAAATAGACTCTTTTAACACGTATTCGGCCTGTGATAATTATTGGCTAGGGCCCAGTGGTTCCCAAACTTTTTGAAAAAAATTCCATGACGGACCCCTCGCAATTTTTTCAATGATATCCGGTCTTGTGCACCAAAACATCAAAAGATCACAAAAAATCAATGCGTCGTATAGTGGAACGAACAAAAGAGTATAAAGCGCAACTCTAATGACATGTGTGAGTGTGACATCCAGTCTGTTACGATATTTGGAAAAAGGACAGCGTCAGCTACGGCACTGCAGTTAGTATATCTGTGGTGGCATGAATTGAACTCTCACTGTGATATAACAGGCCCACAGCTCTGTGACATTACAATGGGGCAGCGTGATCGAAACATATAGTAAAGAATTAGTGTCTCTAGTGGTGATTGCAAAACAGCAAAAGGCGACAAATGTGTATTTGTTTAGGCACTCAATTTTTGTATTATCAAGCTGATAGCCATATTACAGATTTGTTTCGCGGACCCTCCAAAAGTGTTTCACGGACCCCAAAAGGTCCGGCTGTTCGTGCAATAGTTCAATTGTCTTGTTAAAGAAACATTATTTATTTAATAAAATAATTGTATGACTATAAATGCATATAAAAGCAAACCTGATACTGGAAAAAAATATGACAGAGTAGCAAGATTATTAATAGTGACAAACCTAATTGGTATTTGATAATATTTAAACAAATTATATATTCATTAAATTTTCGTAACTCCTGTACTGATCTAATTCTAGCGGAACCCACGTAACCCCGATTGAACTCATTGGTCTACACAGAGGCTTGTTTGAAATAGCGTTAAAGTACATGATAAAATAAACCAGAGGGTCAAATGTGAGAAAACAAGCGTCATGATCGCGATAACTAAACAATATGTTAGTACATTTCATAGTGAACGTTAGTTAAATTTCCTCTACATATTCTATTGGATAGTTACTGTAGGGTGCGATGTTGATCCCCTGAAACTCCGACGCGTGCCGAGACTGGGCTACTTAAAATTCCGCTATGATTTCTCTGATAACAACGAGTAAAATCCTTTTTCTATTTGTATTATTTAATCTTTATTTGAGAACGACATAACGACAATTAAATCAATCAGAATAACAGTGAAATAACCTAACGTTTTTTCAAAGAAACTGTTATACCTTTATTTTCCAGGTCTATGTATGATATTGTACATGTTTGCAAAGATATCAACAGACTTATACTCAGGGGCAATTTTTATTCAACAATCAATAGGATGGAGTCTATATCCATCTATAATTGGGCTTCTCGTAATTACTGTGATTTTCACTATAACGGGTAAGCAATTTCTCTTATCATAAAAAAATGTGTTACATTCTAAGATATACGTAAACTCATTGTTTAGTCACAAGCAGTTTTACTAAAATGTAGAGCTCGCAATAAAGAACGACGAAGGAATACAAACAAGGTTTTTATATGTGTTTCATTCCTTATAAAATAAATATGTTGCTTCATCAAGAAAACAGCCGCCAAGCGAATTAGTTACCTATTCCAAATACCAATCTACTCACTGTGTCGTTGTTTGTGTCATTTGCTGTGTCTCTAATGAAAATACAATTCAGTAACCACTTCATATTTTCAAAATGTCGATATGTATTTTAGCAATGTATATGATATTAAAAAAATGACAATTTTCTTGACCTCAAAGTCTTCATAATTTTTGACCTCCAGAAATGATTCATATGAACCTCAAAGCTATTTTTTTTAATATAAACCCAGTTTTGACGGATCATTACGGACTACAGTTAGTCCGTGATATTGAGTGTAATATTAGTGTGTAAATTTCGTATTTTAGGTGATTTGAGAACGATTAATTGAACACAGGTCTATCATACAAGCGTAAAGGTGTATGAGAGTGTTTGAGATTGATTTACACATAATATATTATGTATTATGTGTGTACAGATGAAGAATGGTTTAAAAAGAAATTAACGAAACACGTAATCGGAAGTTCGATTTCATTTAAACAAATAGGCATTTGAATATTTAGCTTCCATCACGATATTTGTTAAATTTGAAGCTCTCCAACAGTTTATAGTATAAAACATGATAATAATCATTTAATAACATTTTGTCTAATTATCGTTTTTCAACAAGAAATCTTAAAATTCTAGGAGGTCTAACTGCAGTAATATTCACGGACACTCTGGAAACAGTGATTATGCTTGGAGGATCAATTGTTCTTATGATAATGGGTATTTTTAATTTCTCTATATATTAGCTCTATATATTATATTATATATAGCTATATTTGTGTTCCAGTTTAAAAATACACATAATCTTTGGGGGATTAAAATAAAGATGACAAAAAAGAGAATGTTTTGTTCAGATGTAATTTATTATATTACTGTAGTGTAGAGATTATGACGATTCGCAATATGTCCAAGGCGATAATAAGTGGGCGATAGATTAATTCGATTCATGTTATAAAAAAGTGTTGCAAATACAACAGTAGTTTTATTATAGAATTTTACTTTTCCAGCATTCATCGAAGTTGGAGGATATTCTGGTCTTCAAGAAAAATGGGATGATGCTATTCCAGCCGATGCTAACGGGTCATGTGGTATTCCACCTGATAATGCGTTTCACTTATTCCGAAAAGCATCTGATCCAGACTATCCTTGGCCAGGAGTTGTATTTGGAATCAGCATTTTATCCACGTGGTATTTTTGCACAGATCAGGTGAATTCATGTAATAAATTATAATTTTGTACATAAATTGGAGAAAGAACGTACAGTGAGTGTAGAAAGCTAATTAATTACGTTCGGATGGTGTTTCTACAAAATATTTATAAAAATGCAATTTTCAAGTGCTGATATAAGTGAAAATGGGTAAATAATTTTTTTTGTTTTACGTGTTTATTTATTATGTTTTTTTTACTTTTATATGATTTTAATTATATCCAGTTTTCATTTTTTTCATGAAACGAAGCATTAGCCTACATGATATATATATAATATTTATTCCAACACTTATTTCAGGTTCTTGTGCAACGTTCTTTAGCTTCTAAGAATTTATTACACGCAAAAGGCGGATCTGTATTAGCAGCATTATTAAAGATAACTCCTCTCTTTTTAATGGTTATGCCGGGAATGATAAGCCGAGTACTATTTGCAGGTATTTAGTTCAATTGCTGTTGTTGTTTTTTTCGTTCCTGCCAAGGAATTATCGTTTCAGAACAACTGAATAAAATTATTGCTTTGATTTATTGATATTATTATGCAGTGATACCTCGGTAGTCGAACATAATTCGTTCGTAGTTGGTGTATGACTACCGATTTGTTCAAGTAACGAAACTTTGTTTTCCATAAGAAACAATGATAATTATTTTATATCGTTTTTACGCATTCCAAAATAACCAAAATCAAGAAATAGTGTACCTAAACAACAGTAATTATTTAAATGCGTACATAAAGGTGAAAATATAAAATATTTTGTATCAGTTACTGTATGTTCAAGCAAATTTCTGTCAGCTCTATGGGGTTCCTATTTTTTTTGTCCGATGACGTCATCAAGAATTGCGCGCTTTGTGGTTGTTGCGTTTTCGCGTTGATCTTGAAGATTGCCGTATCGATAGTCTACTGTGACAAGTTGTATACCCGTACGATTTCGTTTTGGTTTTCATGTCCATATATTTGAGCATCTCTCTCTTGGTGAATGGTGAACAGGCAGCGGAGATGCGCGGTTCGGGTGACGTCATCTCACTCGGCGGCGCGCTCGGTTGTTCGAGCACCGAATTTCCGTTCGAGTACCGCAGCATTTTTGACTAGAATTGTTTGTTCGACTTCCGAATTGTTCGACTATCGATTCGTTCAACCACCGAGGTATTACTGAATAGCAATGTTAAAAAGTAATATATGTTACCTAAGCTAAACGTAGCTGTATAAAAAGTCGAATAAGAATGGGACTAATTCAATTTTCTAAAATGATTCATTTTACACAATGTCTTATAAACAATTCTAATATTTTACATATTCGGCAAATATCTATTTCGTTTTTTCATGGCGACTGCTGATATGATAGCGTATCTTTATCGTCCAAATATATTGTAGTAGTCAGTGATATAATAATTTACAAAGAAAAAAACTTTATTACAGATCGAGTTGCTTGCGTTACACCTGAAGCGTGTATTGAAGCATGTGATAATGCAGCTGGATGTACCAACATAGCTTACCCAATACTAGTTCTTGAAATCATGCCGCAGGTTGGTTGAGCAACAATGCTAGATTAAACAAGCTGTATTAAACGGTTGTTTAAATATTTTGCTATTTATAGTACCAGCAGGGATGCCCAATTCAAATGAGAACGTGTGACAAAGTTTATAAAATAATCATCTAGCGTGCTACGTGACGTTTGAATAAATGTGGGTATTGTAAAGGAAAGTCTGTGAAGCACGTAACAACAAAGTTTAATAAAACATATAATAATGAATAAAAAATTAACTGGAACAATTTAATGCCAAATGTCATAAACATATTGATTTGAAGACGTTTTTATTGGACAAAATTCGAAATGTTGGGCTTCAAAAAAGAAATAGCGATGCGCAACCCCGAATCTAAATGTTCATCTGTTAACCGAGTCCGTAACTGAGATTTGATTATATTAATGATTGAGCCTGCTTTTGTTTGTTTTTCCAAACTGTTGTCAAATCAGACATTAACTCTACTTGTTAGTTTCTGTTTCTGCTAGAAGCAAAATCTAGGAATGTGCGAACCAACTTGACGATTTAAATTATTACGGCATAAACGAGATTTATTACGGTTTACACTAAATAGTAACCTGACCGTTTGCTACTGTTGGTTTGCCTAATTACTTATTTTTACCTACTACATTTTAATAGCAGGTCCACGGACTAGCAATGTGTGGATAAAGACAGTTTTTTAAGATTGTTTTGATATAAACGTGATTTGTTAAGATTTATTATAAATACAAAAATTACTTTTTATGAAATCGTTCGCGTACCACGTTCGGGCATACCAGATTAACTACGCGAACCCTGTGTTGTGCGCCCCTGGTCTTATGCAATGGCATTAAAATGGGATAAATTTGATATCGTTATATATATTTATATCTCGTATAAGATGATTTGAATTTTAATCAAGAATATTAAGCCTGTATTCCTTACTTTATTCTAAGCAATCTTAACTTATACGAATGCATTGGTCTTTTTCATATATGCCAATTAATGATATGTTCTAATAAAAAAAACGTCATGATTTATTGCACTTATAAAAACTAACCCAGGCACAAATAATTAGTTCGAATAACATGCCATTTATCCAACATTTGATATTGAATTAGGTGATATTGGTAATATACAGCATTATGCTTCCAATACAGTGTAAAGTGTTTGTTTAATTCTTACATCAGCATTTGAGCTTTGAATAGCTTTGAATATCCCAATCTCATGGAAGAATTTCACATGTATTTAATATTTGCGTATATCTTTCAGTCTGTTTGCCCTAGCGATAAAAAGTATGTTTCTCACCATGCCGGATATTTACCCAATGCATATGAGCCAACATTGAAAGTTGATTTGCGAAATCTATTTTCTAGACATATGTACATGACTTTGGTTATAGTAATAGATATCCTATATATATATATATATGGCTTGATATTATTATTATTAACAATAATAATTAGTTCATCTGTATGACTCTTAATAAAAAAGCAATACAAAATTGAACCGCCCGAAAATACAAGGATAAAGTGGGCCTACATTGTTGACATATTTCAATTACATTTTGTGCGACCTTCAACGCTAAAGAATAAAAAAAAAATACCTGTACCATCAAGTATATTGTTATATAGGTAGAAAATTGGGATAAAATAAATACCCTGATATCTCAAACATTCACATTCCGACTGAGCAGACAAGTGTATCGGAAATAAATACGCAAACTCTCGCAGAAATATTCTCAGTCTTAATATACATTATATTTAATTTTAGGCACGCAATAACAATACTAACTAACACTATTCGCATAAAATCTCAATTTTTCACGAAATTTTTTAGGGTTTGCGTGGTCTTATGATAGCAGCCATGTTGGCTGCCTTGATGTCATCGCTTACTTCAGTGTTCAACAGTGCAGCAACCATTGTATCAATGGATTTGTGGAAAACAATGAGAAAACAAGCGACTGATATTGAACTCATGGTTGTCGGGAGGTGAGTAATGAAGTTAAACACAAGAAAAAAAGCGATTATTAGAATATATGTTGAGCAAAATTTGACTAAATTTCATCTCCTTATTTTTTGTAGAATATTTGTGGTCATACTCGCGGCCGTGAGTATTCTTTGGATTCCTGTTTTATCTGGACTGCAAAGTGGTAAAATGATGGAATACGTCCAATCAATCAGTAGTTTTCTTGCTCCTCCAATTTGCTCAACTTATCTTCTTGCAATATTATGGACAAGAACAAATGAACCTGTAAGCAAATTTATGGAAATATCATTACTTCGTCGTTAGAACCACTTGTTCATTAATTTATGCAATATCCATATATATAGTTTTCCTAAGATATTACAGCGATAAAATCTTGAGTACTCCCGTAGTGTGTGTACCAGGTTAGGGATAGGGCATAATTTTATCCCGATTTCCCCATTTAAATTCTATTACAAGTTTGATGACTGTCTGTGTTAGCCAAGTGAATATACCCCCTGCCCATAGTTTTCAGTCCTTTTACATAACTTGAGGTAAAATAGGCGAACAAAATTAGTTACCTTCATATTGGTACACACATTTCTGGAGCGCCTGTATTTTTCATATACCCAAATAAAGAACTTTAATATTTTATTTTAAATTCAATGTTTGTTATGTCAGAAAAGTAACATAAAAATTACATATATATTTTAAATAAAAACAACGGAAAGTTTGTGCATACAGATCTGAGACTAACTCGACATTTTTAATCTGGTATATATTACAAAATGTATCCTTGATGAATGGTGATTAGTAAAAAGCTTTTGTAAACATTATAGTAGCAACTTTACTTCACTAATTATATGTTATGACTATATTTGACAGGGTGCATTTTGGGGCCTTGCAGTTGGTCTTGTATTTGGTCTCACACGGATGTTGATAGAGTTTACGTTGCCAGCACCCACGTGCGGTCATATTGATGGAAGACCTGAAATTTTAACAAAAGTTCCATTTTTGTATTTTGCAATGATATTATTTATGATATCTATGTTTGTTTCCATATTTGTCAGCCTTGTAACTCCTCCGCCATCAAAGGAACAGGTTTGAGATATTGATATTTCATCAAATTAATTTTAGTTTCCATTGTCATTTACCGTCACCGTGTTTCCCTGAAAATAATACACTGTCTTATTTCAATTTTCTTCCGCAAAATAACATTAGGACTTATTTTCGGGCGGTGTCTTTTATATCCATTTATTATGAACAAATTTACAAAGTAGAGGTTCACGAGATTTTCAAATATAACAAATATGAAAACCGTTATCCATTTACTTATAATCAACACGTTTTAATTTGAAATGACTGCTAAGCATAGATTATTAATCATTTAAAACGTGTAGTAGAGATTTTGACAAGGTATTTTCTTTATGTATTCATTTGATCTTTCCTTTTTTATCTCATTTTATGTATTGACTCCCTAAATTATTATTCATTTTACTCATAGATTCCCGGTCTTACATGGTGGACAAGATATCAAACACCAATTTACGAAACAGATCAAATTGATGATAGCAAGTCGGAAGACGAAGTTTTAACGTTGAAAAACACAGAAAAAGATAAGATGGCAGACAGTAGTGGTGAGTATTCAGAGACGCGTTTGAACGTATTTCAACTAGATATTCAAAAAGGAGGATTCAAGGAACAAAAATCGTTTGCATATGTGTAAATTGATTAACAATTTTCTAAAGATGTTTTTCAATACTTTTGCTAAAACTTGAACTGGTCAAATTAATTATGCTCACTAAACAATGAATGTCGGGATCAATATCAGCGATCTGAATGATTATTTGATAAGGGGATTGTTATACATAGTAAAGTAAAATATAATTATTTTGCCGTATATTTGATCTACTGCACAAAAAGATATAGCAGTACTCCCGTAGTATGTGAATCAAGATGGCCGACACCCGAACGTAGTATGTGTACCAGGTTAAGGTTTGGCCATATTTTCAGTTACAAATACTACGGGAGTCACTTGGCTAGTCCTCGAACTCGTAATAAAACTAAAACAAGGAAAATTGGAGAAATATTATGGCCTAAACCCGACCTGGTACACATACTATGTTCAGGTGCCCGCCATTTTGGTTCATACTACGGGAGCGCTGATATAACATGTCCCATGCGAGTCATTTAGATTTACACCCTCCTGAAACAGTGATTTAAGAAGAGCGACAAAATCAACTCTCTTAGTATTTGTTCCTGGGAGAGTTTCTTTGTTACTTCAAGTCTCTCATAGAATGTCCATTATAAGTTGTCCGGTATAAGTTATCACGAATAAAGCCTTGATATAATTTATTAGTCCGTTCGTTTTGAACATCACAAAAATGTTATCTCATATAATTTATTTTAATTTACTTCAGGCGATGAAATTGTAGTAACAACGCAACCTTGGTGGAAAACTGCTGGAATGTGGATATGCGGTTTTGAGCAAAATAAAACTGAGAACCAACAACAGCATTCTCAAGCTCGTACTCACGTGTCTGGAAAAATCACTTTGTACGAAAATCAAAAATGGGGCGTTTTCGTAAACGTTTGTTGTCTTGCCGTCATGGCCATTGGAACATTCATGTGGGGATATTTTGCTTAATAATAAATGTAAAGAGAAATTGAAAACATGTAGCAGTGTTAAATCGAGATAGAAATGTTTACTAAAATAAAACCATGAATCTATTATAATCATTTCGCTTTAAATTGTAAAATAATGGTTGGCAAGATATCAACTTTAACGTTTAAGGAACGAATAAGACATCAATGCTAAAAAATATGGACAAGAAAGCCAAGGACTATGTCAAAAACTACGAAATTAACGCTGTTGTCTCAGATGCAGTTGTTCAACAGACACATATTGCTTGTTTGTTTCATAATTATGCCCAAACATCAAAAAAATCTTGCGACTGAAGAAATGTACATACCATATTTGCAGGCTTGTCCATGGGAATGGGAGTCCCATAAGAATCACATGGGAAACGTCCCATGGGATGGGACAGGGACATCACACATTTTTATTTCCAACGGGACACGTGGGACACGAAAACTGTATGATTTTCGGGGAAATGATGGTAAAACATTTCTTTATGGACTTCCTATTCATCTATTTGAGCATATCTCTCTTCTTAGCTATAAAGAGCAATTTTCATTCAACATTAACAATATACTTTGTGAAGGGGCTGATGTACACATTTATAATATTTATGAATATAATGTTAACGAAGTCCGTAAATTTTGTTATTTTGTATGTCTCTTCGTACATGTAGTCCTATTTAGTAGACGCTAAACATAAATTTAACAATTTTTATTGAATTGTATTCCAATGGGAATCCCATGGGATGGGATGAGACAGACATAATTCCTATGGGATGGGATGATAATGGGACAGAAAAGTACGTCCCATGGACAAGCCTGCTATATTTGCTTTGCCATGATAACAATGTGAGGCTGTCTGATCTCGCACTTCAATTTCCATGGTTGCCGGTACGTAGACTGTGGTGCATGAAGTCGACTTTCTTTTGTTGAAACAGCGATTGTTTGGTATATACCAGTCTGCCTTTACGTACATATTGTGTTATCCTTTAATTTATTCATTAAATATTTAGTTCGATTTTATCTTATTTATCACGTTACTGTTAGACTTCCCCAAGGGCGCCGCTCCTCGTTAACCAGTTTTGGTTTTTCGGCGTCTCCTCTCACCCTGGAATGCGATTTTTTTGTATTTTCTTCAATTTGTGTATGTATAGTTCGTATTTTCAGCATGGTGAAGAAATAAATAACTGATTACTGGCTGACTAAGTCCGCAAAAATAACCAATTTGGAGTTTCAGGGAAAATTTGACATCGATTAGTCCACATAGTTGCAAAGTTTTTCCACACACAACAACAACAACATAGGATACAATAACAACAATTTTTCAAAACGATCTATAGCTTCACTTCTTGTCGAATATTATTATCCCCGTGAAAATTTAGCAAAAATTGGATTGTATGAATACAACATACATCACTTTTTCAACATCAGAGTAGTCTGAGAAAAAAAATTTGATTTATGTTAGCAATGAAATGTCGAACCAGTTTTAAGGGTTCGGACCTTGTCGCAAAGTAATTTGAACATATGATCATTTGTTTTTTGTCTACGGGCACTCAATTGTAACGGGGACTGAAATGTAAATTCTGAGTTGAGCGTTATTTGTAAGTAGTGATGGAGCTGTAAATAATTCTGAAGCGATTGATTGAAGTGATGATTCATCATTCATTCATTGTTGGCGATGCATGGTTCTCTTTTCATGCATGGTGTATTCTATTATTGCATTCAATATAATATCTTCTGGCATAGGGAGGCCGACCACGCAAAATCTATTTAATCAATTTTATTATGTCCTTGATTAGAATGACAACATCAGATTTTTGCAAATCCGATCACTGGATCCATCATTAGTTTTTGTTGCATTTAGATTTTTTTGGAAACAATTCCCATACTTACAAACATAGAAAGAGAAGTTTAAGATGAAACTGAAGAATTTTATGTCGACCGGGCCAATATTGAGATCTGTGTCGTCTGACCAACTCGAATCGTTTCATTGAACACTGCGCCACCGTTGAAAATTTGTCTATGGAAATGTCTGTGGCTGTCCCTTTTCCTTGGTGCTTATTTTGCTCAATGATTCGGTCAATACGGCATCTGGTATTTGATGCTGGATATTATTGACATTATCTCCCTCATTCTAAAAACTTCATACTCTCTATGCTTCGTTTCAAAATCAGTATAAAAATCGATGCCTACTAATGTGATCAAAAGAGCTTCTACAAAATCGCCCATCTTCCAAACGAACGCGACGACACATTTGATAGCTCAAGTGATTGTGGCAGGTAATCTATTTGAAACGATGAACAACGACTTCTTTTTTCGACCGTTTTATTTTACTATTTTTATCTACTATGTGACTGGCCTTATTTTACCTCCTCAACTCATTGATTTTTTGACAGCTCTGTCACAGCCGTTTTTTTTTTCATTTTTATTTCCATATCAGATTTTCTCGTCTCGCTGTTAGTTTTGCTTTACAGCTTTCTTATTTTTATCTTTACTTCTCTTACTTACTTATCTTTACTATTTCTCGACCGCTCAATTTATTTCTATTTCATTTTCTCCTTGACTAGACTAGACTGATTGCCTACCGTTGACCCAGCTCGTTTCTACTCACTCCATCTCATCCACTTTACTTGCTTATTGCCGCTTTTCTATCCGCCGTCCCCTTTCTTAGATGTCGACCATACAAGTCGGTCTCTACTCTCTACCCACTATTTTTCGTCTATTTTCTTTCAACTCCTTTATCCGGCACACCCACAAATCGGTATACTTTTATTTGACCTCTTTTGTCCGGCGCTCGGTTTATTTCCATTTTGCTGATTTCTAGTATCTTCTCCCGTCATATTTCCTTTAACTCTTTTTGTCCGACTCCACCGACGTTCATTTCCACATTTCTAGTACAGACGGTCCATTTCTACTTGCACATTAACTTCTTATGTCCGGCGCTCCGTTTATTTTTCTTAACACTCTGCAGATTTCTATATCTACTCCCACTATTTCCTTTAACTTATTTTACCGCTCCGTTCATTTCCTCTTTCCTTACCCACACTGCTGACACATTTTTCTTCTCAGCTTCCTACTTCGATATTTTGCTTCCACTTCAGTATTCCCACTCCATCTTTATTCTCCTTGCTTATGCCTCTTCCTTATCCACCGTTTCTCTTTCTTACCTCAACCACCTGTCTTATCGGCTGGAAATTCTCTACAACTCTATTCTATGGGGTTAGAACCAGTGGTGAGATTCAAATTTTGTTAGCCGGTTTCTTCACAAAAGTCATATTTTTCAGCCGGTTCTGTTACAAACAGAACATTGACAGTAACTAGTAATGCCAACCGGTTCGCTGATCTCATAAAATTCGGTGAGACGGTTCTAAAGAACCGGTGCGAGCCGGCTGAATCCCATCACTGGTTAGAACCCACCCTCATACCTGACCTGATGTTGGACCATGTCTATACGCTTCCCCTGCGCCACGCTGCTGACGAACATAGGGTGGGTTAGAATCTTACTTAATTGACAACGTCACGCTTGATAACCCACAACGATGCTAATTGACCAAATATAGATTGAACATATTGCGTTGACTTGAAGCAGGTGTATTTATGCCTTAATCTTGATGAAAGGCGTTAATTTGAGACTATCGTGTACACTGATTTAACTATAGACTGTGTGGATATTTGCACAAATACTATGATATTCTGTTTTAATCGTGGTGTATTTTAGTTTACTTTTATCAGGAAATAGGCGTTATTTAATATAGGAGTAAGTCCACAAACCAAATTTCTGACTATCAGTTGAGGAATATACTGATACTGGAAAACGGTTCATCAATTTGATCCTTCCTATCTCTTGTGCTAACTGACAGTCTAACTGACTCTGGTTTACTGTTAAATTTATGAAAAAATGTTGATAATGCTTTTACAGATTAAAACGATACTGCAACATATATACTGCAAATAAAACGAAAAACATCATAAGTTTTGTCTCAGGAGCCATGCGACAGGTGAAACATGCTACTGCAGGCACTAAAGTTGAAACACAGTAAATTCCGCTCAAGACATACCTATCTATTCAGTCTGAAATTACGTCGAGTCTCCTTTCCCCGGATTATGATGAAATATGAGCTAATCAATGTAAAATATGGTCAATCAGTTTTCTATTTTACTAAAATAAATGCATATCCTTGGAATTCTATTGCATACCTTGGTATTTTATTAAACAATGATCTTCAAAATAACTGACTGACTGCAATAGATCGGAATCAATGTTCCAACAACTGATCTAATTTTACGATTTAATAAGATCGGAAAAATTCTGTTTTATTTAAACTAGATATAATTGGACAGTTTATCACTCATGTCTGTGTCTGCAGAATGGCGTGGCTTGTGTGTTGGTAGTGCCAAATCCAGATCATATCTTTTGGAGGCCCTAGGCACTTGGGATGATGGTTCCCTACAAAAAAAAAATATTTAAGAAATTGATGTTATATGTTGTCTGTAATCATTACTAATGTAAAGCCAAGTTAAGGTTAATTTGCATGTTTTTGGAAACAGTTCTCATACTCACAAACATTGATAAAGAGATAGGTTCATGATGATACTTGAGAATTTTATTTCAACCGTTCCAATACTGAAGTCGGTGTCGTCTGACTAACTCGAATTGTTTCATTAAACACTGAAGCATAATTGAAAAATCGTATATGAGAATTTTGAGAAACTTGATCTGGGCCTGCTGCATTTGTCTACAATTTTATATATATGCACCATCTGTGTATATCATTTCATGTGTATCAATGTTAACAAATTTTCCACAGTCTTCGTAACAAAAAGAATGGACATTTTTGACTAAAAATTACGACCGTGCCGCCGACTCGTATGTTTCGATTAATTAACGATTCGATAAATTACAGTCAGTAAATTCTAAAATCTATATGGCAATACGATTCTTAGTCTACTTAATTATTGCAAATTGTCAAATATAAGATGGAACCGACAGGTGTAAGGATTTGGCGCTCATAATACTTTTCGTATCTTGATTTAGAACGTAAATCTATCTTATGAAGAATTATTGCCACTGTTGGGACTGACTAAACTTTAAAACTAGCTCACCCTCAATTATTTTTGCTGCACTAATCAACAGCAGTCATACTGGAATGCGGATTGTTCAACAATCGTTTTTATTAGATAGGAATGGACCCAAGGATCGTCTTGTCAATTTGTGGGCTATTCTTCTACTTTTTCTTTTCTTTTCTCTTTATAACTACGGGATCAATTGTTTAGAAATTTTCAGATTGCATTTGTCGCTAGAAGGCTAAGACTTCTATTTATTTCAAAAAAAAAATGGGCTTAATGGGATTCGTCGTTTTGTTGTGTGATGGCGCCATAGAAATTAAAAATACCGCTCTGTTCTGTGTTCGTAATCGTTGCTTTCTCATGATCAATCGATGTCGGGAAATGTACCTGTGAAAGATTCCATACCCGTACTACTTTGCCTTGACTTTCGGGTTCATATATTTGAGCATTGCTCTCTTGTTTATTGGCGCATTATTCTGATTCAAACTTTGGACATATTGAATACTGTTGATAAATTTTAATTTCGAAGTTTAAGTGTCATATGTGAATTAAAATTTAGAATCGATGATGAAAACCTCGCAAAATGCGTGGTTTTCGTTTATTGCGCTCAGTGACGTAACAATGGCAATATGTAAAATAAGCTAATAAATAAACTGTAAGCAGGGTTGCCATAACGTCTTTATTTATAAGACTTGAATGTCCTAGTCTTAGAATATATTTTTGTCCTTATTTTTCAAGAAACGTCCTTATTTGGACATATGTCTTTATTTTTGTCTTATTTAAGGGCTAAAGATTGTTATACCGAGCACTTAGTTTTGTCAATTCGAATAAATAATTGATTTGCTAGAATTGAATGAAATTTCATTGATTGCTACGCGCATTCACGACGTAATACTGTATTATTAACTTAAACTAATTGCTACAATGACAAAACAATAGCCTACCGGCAAAGATCAGTTCGTGTAACTTCAAAAGACAGTAGTGAATGAGAGCGTTGCAGACGCTAGCCCACGCCCGTGTGACGCCAACCCACACTCGTTTTTGTTGAGCCCTATTAGGGGTAACTGGGCTGTGCTTGGTATTTCATTTGCGTGGGATATATAATCTATGATCATGTATATATTATCAGAGCAATCACATTTTTATGGAATAACGTTTATAACGAGAGTAAAAATAGATGGTTAACCCGTTGACCGCAGGGTGAGTGTGGGCTGAGGTTTTCTCTGTTATCTTACTATTATGTTTTGAAATGCCCTTATTTTTGGGTTCATATTGATTGCAGCCCTGCATGGCCTATGAGCCATATTTTTAATTTTGTTGACGTCACGCAAAATGTATGTAAGTTTTCGGTATAGACAGATGAATATTGAAATTGCATATTTGAAAAATCTATCATCTGGAACATCCGTAAGAGCATTGCTAAAATGCGCTTGTTTACTGGAAAGTGGTTTGATGTCAATTCGAGTTTCGTCTATGTGGCATAATATGCTTATGATGTACTTATGCTTATAAGAAAATTGAAGACGACATCGAAAAAATAATAAGGCAAAATACTTAATTTAGTTTCACGCTAAACAAAGGGGATATCATGTAACACGGTTTGGAGATTGTGTAACCTACAATAAAATAAATTTCGAATTGCAGAAAGCGTTACACAACCTTCATGCGACTGATTTATAGTTGACTACATACACAATGTCATATCGTCACACGCGTAGCAAAGTTGCGTTAGTCACTTTGTAGTGATTTTGAGTCTTTCCACTAATAGTTATTTTCGCAATGCCTGCCACGATTCAGGACTATTGTGCATGATCTTATGTCGTATTGCTACGTGAATAACTCGGATTTAGAGAATCCACTCTCCTAATAAAGAAATAAAAAGGCACAAATAATAGTGATGCATTGTATGGCATTAGAGACTGGGGTATGTGTTTTATGCAATAACCTGCTGGGCATAAAAGCGAGACATAGAAGCAAACAGAATGAATACTTATCCTGTCTCTACATGATATATATTTATGTGCCTAACAATACGTAGATATGTAACAAATGGTGCAATAGTAACAATTTCCCTGTTCAGTTCGAGAGAAATTAAAATTCTTAAAAGTTGTCAAATCCTAGCATAGAAATTGATAGCAAAATTTTTAAAAAAATTCGTGCAATTTTTTTTGTAGAAACAAAACAATTTAGTAATTTTTGAATAAATTAGTAAGTTTAAAATTGTTGCTTCGTCATTCGGATATATAACTCATTTTTCACTATCAGATTGTTTTCTGGCAAATTCTCGGTATTTATAAAACAGTAAATTGTAGAGTAAATCCCAAAATTGGCCTGTGTAACAACTAGAAGGTAACAAGTTAAAAAATAAATTTTACTTCCTGCAAGATAAGATTAGTGCAGAGATCGAAAATAAATGGAAGATAGTCTGTTGGTAGTCAAGCATTTGATATTAAATAAATAATATTTTCTAATAAAGTATTATAACAATATATGTAATATTAATACCGGGTGCTCTAAAATGCTTATGTTCAGTAGTTTTCAGAGTGATTGTAAGTGAAGTTTTAAGATGATTCAAGTAAGTAACTTCATGATATATTTGCAGATTTGGTTACTCTATTTATATGGACAAGTGAATTCGACTCAATTATAGCATATTTTACAATAACTAACATATAATGATAACACGTCATGATAAATAAATTTATGATATATAATATATAAAGTACATTCATTATTTTTGTTTCTTATATTGTTATTTTTTTTAGATGCTAATGATTTGTCTACTTTTGTTTTATTTTTGTTAGGGCAATTTTTTGGTTTATATTGTACCAATAAAAATAACGTACATAGACTAAAACGAAAATTTTTGTTTAAAATGACAAAAATGTAAATTTTAGTGATTTGGCGGCGGGTGAAAAGGATCAAGATCTGAGTGAAAAAATAAAAACAGAACATAGGTGCACTGTTCTTCTCTACACTAGCAGCGAATTATATTTCGATGACCATAACCGTCTTCGTTTGAGCCAAAATATGACAAATTGAAACTTACTAGTACTTGCTCACTTTAAAGATGCTCCAGGCGGTGTTTTTGCACTGATAATCAGTGATACAATGTGATTAAATATCGATACTCGAAGCGAGCTGTTCGAAAGACATTTGGACATTTTTTTTAAATAATTTAACACTCTTTCAGTGTAAAAATTGTCAAATTAGAATAAAAAATTAAATTAGGTCGCATAATTCACTTCATAATCGTGCCATATGAAGCAATTATCCGGATTAAAAAAGAACATATAACGTTATGCAAACTTAACTTAGGAAAAAGTTTACATTCTACGTAATTTGGAACGTTTCGATCATTGCAATGTGTTAATCAGTTACGTAAAGGACGTTCCAAAGAACAGATAGATATTTTGATAGAAAAACACTTTCTATCAAAATGATGAAAAAGCAACCGCAGTATACTGTTGAGAGCATAGCACGAAGAAGATAGATTTTCAGATAAATAGAGACAATTTCACATTTATATCAACTTGCTAGCAAAGAGGTTGAAGCTTCAGATGTATCATGCATAAAATTTGAAAATGAGTATGTGGAAATTGTTGGTAGATGCTTTTAGTTCTGAACTATAAAACATTTTACCAAAGCGCTTGATAACATTGGTTGGAATTGAACTACATAACATTTAGTGATTGATGAAATGCTTTATTTCTTTCATCACATGCAATCACTTCAATGTATTACTTCGATTCTTTTTGCTTCATTATTTTTAAATAAGATGTATATTTCGTTACTTTCTACCTCCAGTCCTGCAAACATTCGTCTCTCAATTTTTTTTCTTATATGAGATTTTGGGGGTTTCTTTTTGTAGTAATAACAAGCTAACTGCCAACAACTCTTTAACTCTTAACTTTACTACTAAATTTGATTGCTCTATTTTTATTTCACTGATTCTGATTTCAGGGTATATTGTGTATATTATTGCTCCATTAAGTGCTAATTCAATCTTATCGCACTTAAGTTCAATTAAATAAGATTGAAATGGCAAATGACAGCAACTTTAGTGAATTCAATCAATTTAACGTAACACAAATTGGCCAAAATTTTGGCAACGATGGAAATAATGTTACATCTTCGCCGACTGGTCCACTTCCCCAGTAAGTATTTATGTTTGAATTGATTTGTATTGAACAATACTAAAGATAGGCTCAGTTTTTATCGGTCTCTTGTCCGGTTACCAGCCCATGTCTGGTATGGGAATAATTAACTATATATTTTATGCCAACGCATTGACTTGACGGTGTAGGAAGCCGTAACCGATTGGCGGTTATGTGATCCATCCTATGCCGGCGCAGAGTCCATCAATTCTCTCCCCCAATATTCCACCAACGAGATTCGAAATTGCGAACCATTGGGATAAATTTCACGTTTTTATCGCGGAGTTTTGAATAGCGCTATAAAAAGAACATAAACGCCAAAATTATATCCACATGTATGTTCTTCTTAGTTTAAATAATAATAAAAACAAATTGACTGATTAATAGAATAATACCAAACCGTGACGTTAATTTTAAAATTATAATCGGATCCAGCAGAATAAACTAAATGAAATATTTTGTGAAAATTAATATGTTTGTTCAATCCATCAGGTAGGATAGAATTTAGGATGTGTTTTCCAGATTCATGTCATAACTGTAAATGGTGGAATAGAATTATTTCATTTGATCAAATATCAGAAATTGGCTCAGTATATACATTACATCTTGTCCATTTATAAACAACTTTGCTAGGTATGGTAAGAATATCATTTTGAAAAGGCTTATTGCATAACCAAAAGTAAAATACCTATAACAAGTTTTCGAAATCTTCACAAAATACACTATTGTAATAAAATTAATTTAATTTTGATATAAATCCTAAAATATTTGTTAAATTTTTAGGGAGCCGTTTTTTACCCAACTAGAAGTTGCTGTTTTGGGAACCATCATTTGTCTAATGTCAATCATTGGAATAATATTAAACAGCATCACGTTCTTTGCAATCTTATTGGATACAAAACTGAAAAAGTAAGTGGGAAAAATTAATATCTATTTTTTCTGCTATTCTTCTACCTCTTTGCATTTTTGCCTTAATTCTTCCATTCCCTCTATCTCTTCCTTGTATCTTTCTATAATATTTATTAACTGTTTTTCATTATAATCTTCCTCATTGCGTATTTTTAATAATATTTTTCAGTTCAGTTTTCAACGTTTTTATATCGAGTTTGTGCGTTTCTGACTTTTTTTCATCAATCAGCAATCCGTTGACATTTTTTACATTGATGGGAACTCATAAAGATTATTTATTTTCAGACATTGTGTGTAAGGTGAATCTCATTTACTTTGTTATATACATTTCAGTGAAAACGCTAAATTGAAGTTAAGTGTATTCAAAAAACCTTGCTCGCTAGAGATTTGCATTGTTGAAATTTCAACAAAGAATAAAAAATGGAAAAATTATCATATGGAAAAAATACCGAATTCTACCATACCATATAGTTACTAGATTTTGTCCCAGCAATATTTAGTTCATTGCAAATAACAGTTTTTTCATTTACCGGGTTAAAAAAATTAAAATAATATTTCACAGTTGCATACCGCTGTTGATATATGGACAACCATTTGTACTATTCAGCATATTCTTGTATTTTCACTCCTTCGTCTTGTTGCCGTTTCGTATCCTCATCATATTAAACGTATTAGTGTTTTGATGGCCAAAGTAAGTTGTTTAATTGTGATGTTACTCGCTAGAGTTTGGTGTTTTTGTATACATTTTAATATATTACTAATACATTTACAGTTTGATTACGGTTTGAAGCGACCTGTATCAAACATTAATTTCTTCAGTGTAAATTTATTTGAAAATTGATTAGATGCTTGAAATGTATGACTTAAATTACCTAATTCCAAATTATTACGTAATAATAACCTATTACATATGTTATGGCACAATACTAACATGTTACATAGTACGTATATGGAAAGATAATGTTGTTTTAAAACAGCGATCGGCAACCTGCGGCTCCTGAGCCGCATGCAGCTCTCGTTTCTTGGAGCTCTTTCTCCCGTGAATCAAAATGGCTACAGCAGTTTTTGTTAGGAACAGTGGAGATTCAATAAAAGCCGGGGGCATAAACTCGATTACCTCTAACTAATTACACATGATGACAGGTATAAGTCGAGAGTGATAAAAATAGGCCGCATTTTGGTGATTCAAATCTGTCAAAACAAACTTTTACTTTTCATTATCCAAGTTCTTTTCATTTCGTCGTAAACTGAATTATTAATTTATTTAGCTTCTTCTTAGTAAGAAATAGAGTATTGCATCATAAGTGGTTTTCCGAGAGTTTTAACAGCCGCTGATATTAGAGTAGATGTTGCGGCTCCGAGTAGGTTTGAGTTTGGCGGAAAGGATACCAATGGCTCTTTCAAGGCTAAAGGTTGCCGACCCGTGTGTTTGAAGAACAAGTATTTATGTTATTAATTAGCTTTTGTAGACGATAATCAACACGTCGCACGTCGTTTATCGAAATGTATATTTTTGCAGATCGGAGTTGCTTTCATATGGTTGGAAACTTTTGGAGTGTCTTTTGTACCTTACTTTTACTTTATGGGGGTATTCAAAGGTTCTCACCTGGATCCTAACGTTATGTTGTGCAGGGGTGGCGGACAGACGTGAGTGTTGCGCATCCAATCCATTTTTCGAATTTTCATCTGTTACAAGATTCAATTTAAAAGTTGAAAACTTATATGTTCACTAGCTCTTTTGATATGCTCACTTAGATCTGATAGATTTTTCAAATTCTGAATCAATTTTGGTATTAGTTCATTCAGTTACTATGTCCATTGTTGGCATTTATCTTTGTCAAGATAATTCAATTTAATTGAATTCTATGTAATTCTGACTGAATTCTATGTAATCTAGTCACAACTCGTCAAATTATAACAGACATCTAATTAATTTATACTTTTAATTTCAGAATAATAGCCTTCTCACAATACGTAAAATATTCATATCCAATCATATTTTATGCACCTATGATGTTGGTGGTTATATGCTCCATTGCTTTAATATATCTCATGATACGAAGGAAATTATCCAAAGAAGCATTGGGTAAGGATTAGATATAACATCAATTGTTTCTTTATTAATAGTCAGTTTTTGGGGAGGATTTTTGTTTTGTATATTTTGTAATATTAGTTATGTTCTTTACTTCTTTATTATTACTATTATAACACTTATTTATGCACTATGACCTACTTAAAACCGTGCAAAAGAATGTGAATTGCACACGCTAAGGATCCACTGAAGCTTGAACAAATGGAGTAGTTTTAATGTATAGTAGGGAGGAATGAAAAGTTTCGAAATAAGCGAAGGGCATTCTAAACATGCATTACTCAAAAAATTTTGAGAAGGGGCCTCAGAAAGTCTGAACAAAAAAGAATTTTTTTCATGGAATGCTGTCACTCAAGTGAAAAAAGCGGGAAGGTTGACACTTGATTTCCTCCTAGCTATAATAATTTTCCAATTCACATCATGATAATTGATTCTTGAAATTAATTTGACGTTTCACTCGAGCTCTTGTAAAATTACTATAAATATAGTCATGTTTAGAATAGCGCTAAATGCTTTTGAGGTCAATGGTTATAACGGATGTTCAATGGTTGTCGCGTCAGTACTGGGAGACGATAGTCTGAAATGCTAGTGTTGAATATGTTCGGTGCATGAGCAAAACGAATAAAGCAGCTAATATCTATCCAAATTGAAATAATTTTAAACAAAAACTTCAAAATAATTTAATAAAATCGATTTATTAACTAAATGCTGTAATTAATATTTTTATTTTAAGGGAATGGCAGGAAGACAAAAGATGAAAATTTTGCCATCCTCCAGCTTTCTTTGATTTTGCTTTCTTTTCTGATTGGATATATTCCGGATGTTGGTGAGTATTTGTGTGACTTTTTTAATAGGTCATTCAGTTGTCTTGTTTGACTATATTATATTTTGTCTTCATTAACCTGCATTTGATTCTTCTCTGTAACATATTCTCATCTTACTTTCCTTTTGACTTCATTGTTTTTTGTTTCAATATCTAGCTCGCCGACTATTCAACACGAATAACTCACTAAAAACCAAGTCAGATTTGTTGATTTATATTATACCGATATTCATTTTGCGATTTTCGGAATGTCTGAATCCAGTGTTCTACAATATATCTCCCAGGCAAGTTTTATTCTATTTTGATTTCAAAAACTTTTTAATCTTAGTGGCTTTCTACATAAATGATCAGGTTTAATTATAATTTAACTACCATCTCAAAAAAGCATATTTTTGGACACGTTTAGTGGTCATAACGATCGTTTCAAAATTTTGTTGTTGTTATTTTCTTTCGTCATTATTATCATTAAAAAATCGCTTTTCTCTTCGAATACTGAACCAATTGCTTTGGAATTTTCAGTGGTTCAAGATTTTTTTGCCAGAAGGCTATTACTTTCATTTATTCCTGAATTTTCTATGAATCTTATAAGATCTAATATTACATCCAAAATTGCGCTGTATCAATTTTTAATTATGGGAACACGGTTTTTATTCCGCCAAGCGTGACGGCTGACTGTGAAAATTCTTGCAACTGAAAACCCGTAACTTTTTGAGGGTACGGTACCGGTAACGTCAAAGGTAACCCCTGCTTCGCTCTAGTCCACGTGTCCATATATTTGAGCGTTGCTCTTTTGTTTTTTATGTTATTTATAAGCCAAACTGATGCGGTCACATCAGACTGGCTTATTTAATTTACTTTTACATGTTGAAAAATTGGTACTCCTGTAGTATGTGTACTAGGTTAGGATTAGCCCATAATTTTATTTCGATTTCTCTTATTTCAGTTCTATTACAAGTGTATGGTCTGTCTGTGCTAGCTATGAGAATATACCATCTGTCTTCTAGTAATCAGTCGCTTTAAACAACTTGATGTAAAGTCAGCGAACAAAATTAGTTACCTCCATATTAATACTTCTGGGGCGACGATTAATCAAGTAATAATAAAATTTATGTTTCATTTTTTTCATACTTTTTGCAGCTCAATTAGAAATGCATCTGTAGACTTACTCAAAAAATTGTTTTGTTGCTGGAAACGAGATTCAAGACATTTGCAGGAATCAGAACGAGATCGAAGAAGGTTGCCTGGTAGTCAAGAAACGAAATTTAGTGAGCAGAACACAAGAAAAACCAATGCATAACATTTGTTATACAATATGATTAATATTGAAACAAACACCAAGAAACACATGAATAACATTGGCTCTGATAAAATATTTGAAATTACATTCTGTAAAATATTTGTTATAATTGTTTATTATGACAATTTTTTTATTACAAATTTTTTACTATTTTCGATGGCATAATTTAACTTGAACCTGGTTCAATGCATATAAAGATGAAGTCAATTCATTCTACGTGAATTACCATTTATATGCATTTTATTTTCTCCAACTTTCTTCAACAGAAAACATTATTGTTTTCTAGTTTACGCTGTTTCTTCATGCAATTTGATTGCGAATCATGTTTTGCTGTAAATATTGTGTCTGTATAGCAATGTGCTTGTTTAATGTTATAAATATTTATATTCATAGTGAAAAAAGATTTGCTTAATCGGTCGCTATATAAAGTTTTTGTGGTTTAATGAAAATTTTAGTTTTGTTTCGTGCACTGGGAATGCACTGTTACTCATGTAAAAGCTTTATAATGTTTTATAAAGTGTATTCCTTTTCAATTTAAAATTCTGTTCTTCAAGTTTTGTGAAAGTTTGCCGTTTAGATGTTATTTTAATTGGATTTAGTTTTACTGAAATGAGAAATATAGTCACTGTATTACATCTACCCAGACTAACACTATACCTTTAATGCTTCAGAATTGTAGCAAATCAAATGAATTTGAAGACAAAACGTTATTTTTGGGGGGTAAAAGATACATGAAATAAATTGAACTATTGTTTATTATACTATTCAGTGTGATTGCCTATAATTTAAAAAAATTTGACGCGTCGAAGAAAAATTCTGTTGTGTAAAAATGGTTTGAGATTGGGGGAGATAAAAGCAAGGTTGCATCAAAAACGTGGTCGGTCAAATCAAATTAAAATGGATCCATAGTTCTCAAGTCGAGTAAACTGTATAAGCGCTTTTAACATGGACGCAGCCATTACGGATCACCTTGAAGCATCATATCCTTGTTTGGTTACTGCAGAAAAGTTTGCAGTCAGGTTGAATTTCTCAAAAGCACTGAAAAAGCTGCCATCATGAAATTTTGCATAATATACATCGTTCCTTCTACCTAACCAAGTTTTCTGTTCAATCTATAACGTCCTTAGCGACCAATGCTGTAAATATATTATTGGACACGTTTAGTGGCCATAACGATCGTTTCAATATTATGTTGTTGTTCTTGTTCTTGTTCTTTGACACGTTTTCAAAAAATCGCTTTTCTCTTCGAATACTGAACCAATTGCTTTGAAATTTTCAGTGGTTAAAGATTAATTTCTTCGCTAGAAGGCTATTACTTTTATTTATTTCAAAATTTTGCGTGAATTCTATGAAATTTGATATTTCGTCTAAAATTTTGCTGTATTATTTTTTATCCATGGGAACACGGATTTTAGTCAGTGTCATGACTGGCTGTACGTTTTGATTCTGCAAAATTCTTGCTACTGGAAATTCAGAACTTTTTTGAGGGTACCGGTAGCGTCAAAGGTACCGGTAAAGACTGATTCGCTCTGGTCTAACGTGTCCATATATTTGTGCGTAGCTCTCTTGTATATATATATTTACTGAAATACTCAAGTATCAACAATAGTACAGAGACGTACCAACATCGTATATTTTTTAGTATCCAAGTTTCAGATAACCTCATTAGCACTTCCGTCCAGCCGTTCTATAGCTATGTAACTTTGTATTCATCGTCGCAGTAAACTCGGATAAATTGAAACGTTTGGATATTGAAAACAAATTTATATACACTTGAGATACACGTGATTCTTGTGCTATATTTGCCAAGTATTTCTGGCGTAGCACGTAAAATTTTTATTGCTTGAAAGGTTTTCATTCAATTTGCAAGAGTCAATTATTTGAAAATGATTCGATTACTCATACACACGTTTGCTTCAACATCCTTCTCAGCATTACCCGGTTGTTTCTTTTAAATATTTACTTTAATGCATTTGCAGTTGCACATGCAAATACTGAGAAGAATGTGGGCGTTCATACGCACATGTAATAGAACTAAATGTCGTGCACAGATAAATACAGAAAGATTACACATGTCCACCAACAATTTTTCTTCGCCCACGCGGTCTATAGGAACCAGTACGGTAGACACTATACGAGCCTTTACTGAAATATCAAGCAGTCAATAAACACATTTGATCGTTCCGAGTTACTTCTCAACTACACAAATTAATGAACAGTATCGTGGTGGTGCTATGGCAAGGTTTCCTACAATAGGAGTAAAAATTACCGAACATTTCATAGTACAAACCGCATGTTTACATTTCACCGAATTAGATTTTATAGAAGTATTTGCACACAACTCTAATGCATTTCCTTACACTATCTTCTTTACCAGATTCTTTAAATCAAATACTAAAATATTTGATTGTTTGTGCATGTTTTCACCTAACTGTTCAAGGTGTACGACTCAAAGATGATGTAATATTCACCCACACGTTCGCTATGAAACAAGTAATTAGTTCTGTTAAAGATCTTAGTTTGGGAAGTATATGTGTAGAAACATATAGGTCATTCGTTTACACATCAACTTTAAACTAAGTTTCATACAAGCAACTACATTATCGGAGAATTTTCGTAACGTAATCACGATAACGACTAATACGGTTGAAATGAAAAAAGCTTTGATGAAGGCAATCATTTATAGTGAATAGTTAACCGGTTAGTAGTTCATAATGATGGAACTTGGAATCAATTCAATATGGTAGTGAAATAGATTACCAATTTGGTGTTCCTGATACATGGTTTGGGGGAAATAGTTTATTAGTCACTGAACCGTTAGCATGCTCTGATTTGAAACATGAAAACGTAAAAAATTCAATGTAATTATATCTTCTAGTCGCAACGTTTCATCAGATTTCACGATACAAACTATACATGCGTTATAATGATTAAGAATTTTAAACAAATATATACATTAATATATAATGTCTAACTTACAGGACACAAGACCACCTATTCTCAAGTAGTTCCATAGTGACGTCATTAACAGAAACCCCAAATTTACCCCAATTCGAGTTAAAATCATGAAAAACAAAATTAAATCAATTTATTCAATTAGATCTACCTACGGTCCATGCTGTGCGACTCATTTTTATACTTCAAAATTACAACATTGTTGATGACATGAGCCAAGACGTCACGTCTATTTTTTATATTCATGAGAATTGCGAAAATGAATATATTGATCAATATTTTTAAGGTTAGTCAGAATCGTCCTAGGTATATATTAGCGGAAACTACTGTTAATCATATATATATATATACATTGTTTTAACCCCTATTCATTAACGTTTGGGGTAACCCACGGTTAGTGGTCGTCGGGGCAGAATCGGTTCACAGTTCAGGACAAAACCCTTGTCAGTTAATTCTATCACTGGACTTCCAGTTCGTAAATCTTGCGTCCCTTCCGTGAATATACCTAGCTACATGGCGACATTGGCAAATATTTATCAAAAGTCAGATGGACCATATGGTGTAAATTGTGATCTTAGGGTTTAGTTGTAACATTATTTACATTATCATACGTTCCGTTCTCGTCTTGGTCAAACAACGGAGCCGGTATCTATAGTATACCGTGTTAAATGTTGATATTAAAACAGTACTAATAACACGAACATATTATAGGTCTGTTAGTAAAGCGACAGACATTATTCTATCAAATCGGCTCTTGGGATAGGTTTATCAAACGACCTTGAAATGCAAAGAAACCAACGGACTACAAAAGGTAACTGAGCTTCTCTTAAGCTTGAGAGACACTGGGAATATACTTATACATCCAACGGAGATATTCAGAAGTTACCTATACAGTCAACGTATTATCGTTAACACAGTGCATGATACCATCGAGCAGAACTCACAGCTATAACCACGAGTCGACTGGACGAGAATTCAATAATATTAGCAATGACTGGGAAGAACCAATGGACTATTCTACAAATCTCCCAAATGCAACTACAACAGAGAAATCTATTGAAATGATTATTGACTCTCATAGAATATTTGTGCAGTGGGTCGCCTGTGAAACTATGTCGATACTATTTCTTTTGATAACTGTTTATGTTAGCATAGCGTTGTCCGTTTACTATATTAAAAAGAGCAAAGTCGTCTTTAGGAGAAGAAATAATATTAGACTTGGAATAAAATGGAGAGTAGTAGCAATGAACACATTCTGCATGACTGCAGTATTTTCTATTTGTTTACGTTCTTTTTTCCAAGTGGATGCGATTTGGGGACGGTATAGCTATCTAAGTTGCACGGTTTTGAAAAAGACTAAGATTATATTAGGGTTATTAGGAGCGATATCAATATGCTTGACATTTTGGTTCCGACAAAGAATATTTTACAAAAGCCCAAATTTAGTGCATTTAACCAACAAATTTACACGATTAACTAGCACCGCGATTTTGCCTATTTTAGTGGGGTTATATTTTTCCGTCATTTTATACTACATATCAAAGGATTTAAAATACAGACACCTACCACCTTATGGCTGTTCAACGTCACATAATATGTTGCCGTTGACTATAATAGCATGTACGACATTTATTATGCAAATTGTACTATTATTTTTATTTGTTTTCCCACTTTTAAAGCACAGAACTCTTTCAAGAAATATCATTGACCACTCTATGAATGACAACACAATATCATTGATTCTGAGAGCTGCCGCGTCAACTTTTGCTACAATAATTTTTGATGTAGTAGGAATTATAATAACATACATAATGAATGATTATGTTGATGATTTGGGATTTTTAATAACTGATATAAATCTAGTTTTACTTGTGTTTTGCATTATATTTTCTTTTGTTGACTGGAAAGTCAGATTGTTTCCATTCCGAACTATGTAACTCACTGAAAAATATGAGTTTGCTTAAAATAATAACAAAATACTGCCAATAAAAGATTTATTTCATACATTTATTTTGTTATTTTTTGTTATTTTATAATTGAATTTTCGATGTGTTTTCTCAAGAAAAGGTTAAAACCCATAATTTCATTAAGTTAGTTTCGTCTACAAAAACAAGAGAGTAATGCTCAAATATATGGGCACGAAGGACTGAACGAAACATTTTATTCACAATTTACCAAAAAATCATATCCTGGATGAGCTGAATTGGATGTTCGCTTGACATTCGACGTTCTTACTTATTGCGACATTACATAGTCAACAGTGACGTAACAATTAAAAGTTAAGCTTCCCGTCAACGATGTGGGAGATATAATCATTGGAATGTCATTCCGCTGAAAAAGACCATGTGAAATGATTAGTTGCATGCATTACATTATTATATGTTCTTTTCAATTCTGTTGCATAAAATATGAATTTGCATGAATTATATATATATGATACATCACTGTTTTTGAAAAAATACAGGGGCATTTAGTTGACGTCACCACGATGAATGCGGTTTCAAATATACACATGTATGTATGTATTACTGACTTAAATTATATATACATATATATATATATATATTGATGTTTCTGAATGTATGGTCTTGATTTATTATTCGATAGATATTTCTAATATTTACAATACAAATATTATTATTGTTATTGAATCGATTTCCGCACGATAAATATTTTCAATGCCTATACCCAGTGTATATGACAACATGTAATTAAACCTTCAGTCATTTCGAGTCAACTCTATTCAGTTCGATAAATTAAAATAGAAAACATGCTCGATGAAATAAATATTAACATTACATGGTAAAATGGAAACCTCTAAAAACTGA